CCCAGGCCTCATCCATCCTCGATCGCTATGGGAAAAACTCATCTCCGCCTGGCAATGGGTATAGATGGAAACATGTGTTGTGTCACTTCTTTACAATCCTGAAGCTGATCATCATCCAAGACGGCCGCATTTCAAAGTGTGTGGAATCACATGGTTTTAAACTGCAGACTTGTGGGTCCACAAATTCCTAGCTTCAGAAGTTGTGATTCCACAAAAAAAACCTAATGACACTATTCACAGTTTGTGGGTCCACATATTTTCGGATTCAAACTTTGTGGGTCCACTTTTTTTTGAAATGCAAATTTGTGGGTCCACAAAAAAACCAAACTCCCCATCTCTCGAAAAAAAATGACACAAAAAATAAGGGGGAACTCTCGCAAAAAATTTTTTTTAGGATTTGGTGAACCTTCAAGATTTTTGATGAATTGTGATGCTTTCCCAACGTTGCAAACATTCGAAAACACAATAACGTCCCTATGATTTTTGTGTTTTTCAGTTTCAGGTTGAACCTATGTTTTATTTGTTTTCTACAAGAATATCAGGTAGATAGTGCTCAGATACACCTCATCCCCATCCATCCTCGCCTCAAGAAAAGCGCTCCAACAAGTAGTGAAGTCGGCCTGCAAAGCTGCACCTGGCAAATGGCACAATTGAAAAGAACCTGCAATGAAATGCATGAGGGTAGCGAGCACACCATGCCCAGCTACCAGAACAAGCAACGAATGCAACATCCCTTTAGTTCAGACACACCAATGCAAATACAAGGCAATTAACAGCAAGTATGTTGACAAGTTCAGCTGGAAAAGCAAGCCTGTCCACATCCCCCAACGCACCTTCACACGCGCCTTGAAGCGGGCAAGACGCACCAATGTCCTGGGCAAGGGCGTGGACAGTATCCTACAATCTACATCCAGGTCAGCATCAAATCAAACCATCAAGATTGACTACTTCTTTAAAGTTGCAAGCCCTGGCCTCTCGCGTCGGGGTGGAAATCGAGCTGCAACCTACATCCATGCAGGAATGAATCAGTCTATAACGAATTGCAAACAACCGGAACTACCAAGATTCAGAAGTTCGGTTGCTCAAAACTGAAGTGCTACCAGGAAGCAACCAGCTCCGGATTGTTTTATCGCCTGCTACTGCAGGCATCAACGATGCGGTGGACATTACTCTACAAATTACATCCAGGAATCATTCACTCAATATCGGGTTACCACCAATTGAACCTATCAAGATAGACTAGTTCTATTGCTCAAAACTCAAGGACAACCAGGAAGCAAATGCTACAGCAAGGGCTGTTCTAACGCTTGCTGTTGCCGGCATCAGGTTAAAGTAGTTCTATGGTTCAAAAAAACTCAGTCATCTAGTTTGGGTTTGATAATTAACATGTCTATTGACGGGACGCGTCCATGGGGCGCTTTGCAGCAGCCAACTACTCTAAAACGCCGAAACACTCCGACAGTCCTGCTTTGGAGTAGCTGCGGGGAGGGCGCAATAACATGCCACTGAATGTGTAGTGAATGTGCGCACATTCTCAATCTCATGGAATTCAAAAAACCGCAGCGCAGCAACAGCCAAGGCCCGGACCCACTCATCAAACACTGAATCAACAATCCAAAACCTGATCAAAATCCAACAATTCAAACATGTTTATAACTACGGCTAAGCTTCTTACGCGCGCACATGCTGGGACAGCTCAAGCACTTGAGCCACAGGTCAATTTAAAAGGCAATCTGTCAGCCAGGCAGCAAAGCATGTCAACGTCTGAAGAGGTCGTCTTGGTTTTGGTTTGTTTCCAGGTGCGGCCCCATCCATGTTTTGGACACCAAAGCCTCCGACATGTTAAGGTTGGTAACGGTCAAGGTTGGTTCCTTCATTTAGCAATTCACACGCGGTTTGCAACCCACACATTCAGCTGGTTGTCAAGCTTTGTGTTGGTCTGTTTTCACAATGCGCTCCTGCGTCCCCAAGAAGCTCTGGATGTTCTCAAGGTCCTGGACATTAGATCCGCTGGCAGACGACAAAACGAGATAAGTACAAACCGCCTGTTGACATATAGCAAACACTGCATATCACGCAACTGCGCTTGTGTAGAGGCAACCCGCCAAAAAACTCCTTTTTTACTGGTTTGCCACTTCGGCTGAAAACTGATGTGTTTCCAGGCCCAGTACGTTCCAGATCAACGCAAAATCAAAAACAGCAAATACAAATAAAGAAAATGCACTTCCTGGTTCGCAATGAGATTGAAAATTGCAAGTGCTAGCAAACGCCGTGACGTTGTACGCTCTTTGTTTTCTTGCGCTTGCGACGCGTCGCGCGATCTCATTGATCTTCAGAAACATTGCCCGTCGCAAACTTGGCCTCCATGTCACACTTGACCCTGGCTTTCTCAGATTCGGACATAGCCCACGTAGCGGCGACATCCTCAAAAGGTATCCTTAGAGCAACACGCACGCGAACACGCGCAGTCTACTGTTCTTAATGTTTTTCCAAGTCGCGTACGGCAGGGCCCATCAAGACGAGCAACTTTCCACTTGAGGCCATTGTCCATGACCCACGAGCAGGACCAAATCACCTTGCTGGCATCGTCGTTCTCACTGATGGTTCGCTTCATCATGCGCGGCATGATGTTCTTGCGCGAGAGTGCGCGATTCAACGATTCCTTTTGGACAGCTTAAGGCTTAGCACGGCTGCGCAAAAATCACACACGGCGTCGCACATGGACTTTGTTGACGTATAAGAATCTGGTCGCGAATAGACAAGGCAATCACAAAGCAAAAATCAAGCCAACACACAACAGATCTTTTGGAGACGACTCACTTGAAATTGAATGTAGCGCCACGCATCAACAACTTGCAGCATCATGTGAAATTCATTTGGCGCTTCAACATGCAAAAGGAAGGACAAATCGCGCGAGCAACACTTGCAGGAAATACTGCGACATCTTTCCTGCCATCCTTTTAACATGATCAGTTCTTGCAACTCCAAGCAGAAACCAGTTCTTTTCCAAAGACAACGCCAAGTCACCAAATTCTTTGATCGACCAATATTCAACTTTGCGGGTCTGGTTGTGCGCCAGGACGTTGCCAGGCGATATGCCATCACTGTAGCAGTCACACTGGCATTCTATACAACAAATCTACGGCCTAGCCTGGCAGCTCCAGCTCCTGGGGTGCTTGAGGTAACTCTGCTGCATCCGCCTCCTTACTCGGTCTCCACTTCAGTTTTCTACGTTTCTTCTTGGGGGACGCAATCTTCTGTTCATCCCTACCCTTCTCTACGGCCGGCGAACATTCCAACGCGCTGAAGCAGTATCGGAGATTTTGGTCTGTCAGGTCTATGTGAATGTCTTTGCTCTTGACACTCCACAACATGTGCATTTCGGTCTCGTCAACGGCACTTCCTTGCCCATCTGTAAATGCAGGAAGGGTGACTGAGACGCAGCGCGCGATCACGAATTTATCGTCCTCGCGAGCTTGCCGGAATTTCGGCGGCTCTTCTCCATCTTGCACCCCACTTAGCATATGCTTCCGTAAAATGTCCGTGCAAGCGTCATGTCCTGAGCGCGCAATCTATAGAGCGGGGTTTTGCTTTACGTTCTAGCAAAAACAGGTCTGGCATATCTTCTATACTTTCATGATCTAAAAAAAGCATACTTGAAGGAAAGGGTGAGGCGCTCAGTTTCGTTGTCTTCTCCCACCACTGGACATTCAGACTGTGGATGTCCCTTTTTGCATGCCTGTTCTGTCCTCTTCCAGTCACTATAAAACAAAGGCCTGGGTCAGTCTTTGATAGGGTCACGTACGTTCGGCCGTCAACCTCCTGCGTCTTAGGGAACCAAGGCCGCCGATTCCCCAACACCACTCTGGTCACATTCTCAATCACCAGCGGCAGGGGGCCACGCTCTTCCAGCTCAGCCTGCTCCTCAGCCTGCTCCTCAGCCTGCTCCTCAGCCCGCTCCTCAGCCTGCTCCATCATTGCTGGATCACCTTCCTCCATGGCTCAAACCCGATCTGTTTGTTGTATGGCACTGCGTGTGTGTTTGCAAAGCTTGAAATCTAAACTCCCTTATCACGCGGTTTTGCTTCTGGCACGCGAGCTTCTTCAAAAAGCCCAGCAGCCTGCACAATTCACAGAATCTCTTGAAGTTCCAGGACAAGGCAAGTCAATGCTTGCAGAACTCAGTGCTGCACATCTGCAAAGCTGCACATCTGCAAAGCTAAATGTGGCTCACTTTGTTGACCCGCGCGCTGGGCACACGCTCGCGCAGTCACAAATGAGGTGTTGGTCTCACAACAATGACAAATTGTTGGCCAAGGCATCAAAAAACGCTTAAGACACTTTGGCATGTGACATCTTAACTGCCAACCATAGGCTTCTCAACCAGTTCGCAGCCTTTTGGAAGGCGCGGCCCTCAACGGCTCACCCTGCTGCGCCTTGTCCTTCTTCTCCGTGTGCAAACATAGCTCATCTCCTTCCGCCAACTTGCCAGAGTTGCGAAGGACTGGCAGCACAATCTCCTTGTCAAGCTTGATGACCTTCGTCTTCAAGACATCGATGGAGGGGAAGACCTGCGCAGAGCCGCCATGAATCAAGTTCGCGCAAGGTCTTTGAAAACAGTGTACCTTCACGTAAAAACCTACAAACAGATGTATGCGTATGTATGTATACATGTGCCTGTAAATGCAAGTTTGAACACACATACATTTACATATACAACCCAATTGGTGCATTTCTCTGTCTCTGCTTACGCCAACATATGTATGTACACAGATGTACATATAAACACATAGTCTCAATGATTTGACTCAGCAAAACGTGTATGCAAGCAATCGATGTGTGTACAATACGTACCAACTTTCGGAAAACACGCACACGCTCAGCCAATCAGCTGGTACACGCCTTGAAAGCAGAAACACCAAACCTCCCAAGCACAAGACACCGCGCAACTTCAAACCGTGCCTCCATGTTGGCATCGTCAGCTTCACTTGTCCTCGGCACTAGCCAGAAAGGGTTCTGGAAGCCATCGGCGCGGCGCCAGTCTTGGAACAGCTGCCAATGACCACCATGTAGTTCTCAAATGTTCCAATGGGCAACTGGTCTGCCGTGGTCTTGCTTGCCTCAATCAGCCAGATGCGAGTACTGGCGCACGGCAAGTGGAGCTTCTTGGGAGGCCAACTCTGCGCAACTTTGACAGCCTTCGGGTTTGCAAAGAGCTGCAGAGTATCCCAGCCTTGCAACTTCGCGCACTGCTTTGCCATAGCCTCGAACACTTTGCCCTTCACCAGACAATGTTGGAAGTCCAAGCTCGAAGGTGGGGAGTGCTGCAGCCACGTCACCTCCAGCTGCGGCTTTGGCTCACTGTACTGCTTCCACTCGTTGGCGATGAACGATGCAGCGGACACAAATACCTTGCTGTCCTCCACGGTCAAGCGCACCTCATCACCTTGGACACGGTCGATCTTCGCCACAGTGCTGCCGCGCTGCACCTGAGAGCCCACAGCAAAGCCCATCGAAGCCATGACTGCTGGAGCGTTTGTCAGCACACCTTTGTCGTTGTATTCTCTCAAGATGGTGTTGGTGGAAGGCGGCTGCTTGGGAGACGGCTTCTTCTGAGTCTGGCCCCATTGGCTTGGCGTCGCCAGCGCGACACCAATTTCGTTGGCAAAATCCTGCAACACCTGTCGGGCTGCATCTTCCATCTTGTCGTGCGTTCTGTTTTTCTTGTCAAGCGCGCATGCTGCCAAGTGTACTTCTAAGCTGCCGTGCGCACGCTGGAACACCAACTGCTTGGTCTCGTCGTTGGCGTAGGGTTCTGTCACTGCGGCCCACTGGTCGAGCAGCTTCATTGCGCACGATGCCTTCTGCACGACCTCCTTGTTTGTCATCGCTCGTTTGGCCTCGGATGTCTACTATTTTCGCAAGCGAACTTGATTGAAGCCATTTCATCTTGGGTTGCGATCATGTTTTGAAGAGAAAAGAGCAAGCGAGCAACATGCCCAACCTGCAAGGACATTGACAGCAACGAGAACTGATAAAAAAAAAATGTTTCCCGGCGGCATCCGTGGCTGTGATCGGCATGACCCCACTGTATGCATACTTCAGCAGCGCGTGTCTCCAACGGAGGTGGTCGGGGAAGCTCTTCATCTCTTGGGATAGTATGGCCCAAGTTTCCTGGCCAAGCTCCCGGCCCCCCTTTCCACACGTTCTGGCGTAGGCTTGTGTGTCCGCCAACATCTTGCTGGAGCCACCAAATCTCACTACAAAGGCGAAGATGGACGGAGCACAGGGGCCGCACTTTGGTCTGCTCCGCAGAACAGTGGCAGAGACGTCCTGCCACTTCGGAGCACTGGCGCCTGGCCAGGAGGTGATGGCCTGCTTCACCTTGTTGATGAGCTGGAGCTCATCCTCCTGTTTGGATATGCTTTGGTTTGTGTTTCCACTCTGGCACACCAGGTCCAGGAGCTGCGGGAACTCCTTCCAAACAACTGCCTTGATGACTTTCCAATCACAGCCATCTGCAATGGCCTTCCTCCACTCTCCTGGAATTTCATGGAGGCTCAGGTCAGCCAGTCCCAACCCGCCATGGAAAATTGCCCTTGCCGCCATGTTGGCGTGCGAGCCACAAATCGTCGCGTAGCGGATCTCCTCCGCAGCTGGCAATTTGCCACCAGACTCCATGGCCAGTCTCCGATTGTAATCCCTGCCATCAAAACCAACGTTTAATTATGTTCGACACACGCTTCAAAAATGGCCTGGCGCCTGGCACCCATATGTTTGATGATACACAGTCGTGTTTCAACACATCATGTCCTTTTAGATACAATAATTTGCCAGCTTCGCCTGCCTTGTGCACTCTGAGGCTGGGGAACCATCCAACTCGACGCAAACACGTGTGGAGACGTCATCCACATACCCCACGGCCGAGATATTCTTCATAAGATCCACCATGTGGTTCAAATCAATTCCTGTCCCGCCTCTGTTCCCATGATGGACCCCAAGGTGAATGCATCTTATCCTCTGAACGTGGACCAAAGTCTCCTTCTCCAAGTAGTCCAAAGCCTTCTTTGAGATCGCCACCATGCCTTCATTTGCAGCGGCCTGAACGTACTTCTGGATCTGGTCTCTCTGCGCCTGGTTCATGGCTTCAGACACTTCTTCAGCACAGACAGCACAGACCTGACTACGTGACGCATTTCACAAAACCGTGGCGTTGAGTGTGGAATGTCTTGATGACAGGATCTGGCCAGGTCACATAGCATGCCTGGCAATTCACAAAGCCCTTCATGCGCTAGAATGCATGCGTCTGAGAGATAAGATATGAGCTGAAACATGGCTGCGGCGCACGCGTGCAAGCATGCACAGCATGCAAGTGCATATCTGAGTGAAACTCAACTTGGCCGCTAACATCAAACACATGGACAACGGCATTTGTGAATGCTGCACCTCCACTAAAACCGAACTGCGCCGAGTACGAGAGTCACATGTTGTTTTACAGCTGCTGGCGGCGACGGTGCCACATCAAAAACCGAGCAATCAATCGAGTCCATCGAGTCAAAGCCCCGGAAGTCCATCACCCACGTCATCCACTGAATCAAAGACCTGCAAGCACTCAATCCAACTGACAGAACAATGCATCCACTCAGTGGGAAATTGAAAAAGAATATCCCGAAGCACCTGTTGGACGATGATGGAAATTTCATTTCAAGCAGCAATCTATACTAACCCTTCACTGATGCATCCAAACCATTGGCTTCATTTCCCTTGCTCTGCAAGAGGCAGAAAGCATGGGTTGGACAAAGGCCGTTTTTGTTGCGTTTTCAAAACCATCATCAAGTTTATACGCCTAATGTTTGGTAGGGTTGGCAAACTGATCTTTGACTGAGCCCTAAACCCTAAAGGCTTTGACGATTTGCAAATCCGAGCCGCCTTCGTCGGAATCTCCATCGCTCATCATCTGAATGTCACTGAAGGGCCGGACTGATCTTTCCTCTTCTAAGATCTTCGCGTCATGCGTTGTGTCGGGTTTGAAGATCAAAGCGTTGGGCTGGAAATCTGCGCTCAACGTCACATCTGTGACGGGGGTGCAAACATTGAACTGAACCAAGTGGTCCAGCAAGTGGTGCAAAGCTCGGCGCTGAGTGATTTTTTCCTGACACAAGGAAGTTCGAGACAACAAGTCTGGCTGAATCCTGCTAAACATCGAGTCAGCTTCTACTTGGCGCAACGGAGAAATGCAACATTCTCCAAAAAATCCGAACTGCGAAACACTAGACATTCCCAAAACGTTGGCAAGAAACGTTGCTGTAGAAGAACTTGGTGGTGATGCGTGTCCCTGAGGCGCTGTAGTGCCATGAAACCGCGCGCGCCAAGCCATCATCTCGAGTCACAATCTCTTGGTTCACCACCAACTTTGGACGTGACTCGTGGATCAAAACACCAATGCGTGGGAATCTCTCCTGGCAATGAGCATACACCAGCATTGGTCTGCCTTTCCATTCTGTCCTCTCCTCATATTGAAACTTGCACGCTGACCCACCCCCCTGCGCAAACATGCTCAGGAAGATGTCTTCGTGCGCCAAGACTCGAGCATACTGACCCGGCCACAACTTTGTGAAGTCTCTGGCCTTCACGGACCGGTCCGCGCGCTTCAACACGCAGTACTCCATGCAAACCATGGACTGCTCAAAATGAGCTTCATGACCCGTCATCACGCTGATCGAAGCGTTCACCAAGCCAACATGTTTGAGATCGTGTTTGATTTTACCTCTTGCCGTGTTGTGACACTTTGAACATTGACTGCGCGTGTGAAGCGAGCAAATCTTATAACCTCTTGAACATGTGAGTTTCATGCGCCATGCTTGTGAACTTGGTAGAGCCAAGGAAACTTGCATGTCAACCATGATGGCGTTGATTCATGTCGGCTACCAAATTGACCAATTGTCAGTGGCTCAAAGAGTTTGGACGAAGCAGTGTCAAAACTTGGACAGCAGCAGCAGTGTTTGTTGCGTCAAGGCACAGTCATAAACAAAAATCATTGACTGAAATGTGCGGTTCCAAAGTTTGGTCAAAACAGATTCCATGGGTGCATGTTTGTTTGACGCTGAATGAAACCTCAAATTCTTCTCTTTTCCAAGTTCATTTCCAAAACTGCAACAAAACGTAAACCCTCTTGATGAACTATCGCTAAACTCTTGTTCGGTAAACCTCATAACATTTGAGCCATCGGCGTTTTGTATTTTGTTTGGAAACGACACACGCGAGCACATGTTGAAAGCAGCAAAAACAAATAACCCAACAGCTGGGTCTTTTTCGACGCATGAACTAGCCCAGGTATATACAAGGCAACGCCAACAAGACAGCCGGAAAAAATGTTGCCGCTGTCCATTTTCCAACTTGTTCGGGCAAAAGCTTCCACATCTGGCTGTCCACTTTGGGGGCGCTTTATTCTGTAGAAACCCTTCGGCCACGCTAACATGCATTGAAAAAAAGGGACCCATCTTGTATTTCGCACACGCATGCGTATGATTCCGCATGTAAGCTAACAAGAACACCGCTCAACTACTGTGGGCACCAAAATTACAAAGAACACACACGAACGCCAAACCTTTCAATTTCAACTTCAAAACCTACCAAAAACACATCTCCGCCTCCTTCATCTGAGCATTTCCATATTGCGAGGCGAGCTCATGCGCTTGCGCACCGACCAAAACGCGCATAGCAACTAGACCCTGGCGCGCTTAGTAAGTAGGCCCCGGCGTACTTAGTAAGTAGGCCCCGGCGTGCGGGGTAAGTAGGCCCCGGCGTACTTAGTAAGTAGGCCTCGGCGTACTTAGTAAGTAGGCCGCGATCAACTTACTAACTTGAATATCATACTTGATAAGTTACTTAGTCAATGTAAGTATGTAGGTTATTTGTTTAGCAACTTCATCAACTTAACATGGCTTAGATACAAAAACCTTCTCTAAGTAGGCCGTAGCAACATAACAAACATACTATCTACATAGCAGAAGAGCGTCAATATAGCAAGTAGGCCAGGTGAACTTGATAGAGTTAACCCAATATATAACTTGGGTTAGAACATGTTAGGGAGCAATATATAAGTAGCGCAACCAACGCCATCTAGAAAGCAACCAAGCCGGTCATCCAAGCAATTGCCGTACTCACTGAATCACGTCGCACGTTGTGAATGTTGAAGCAACGAAACATGTAGCCTAAGGCATAACCAAACAGCTGACTCTCCAGCGCCAGTTTCACTCCCAATGCTTCCTCTAAATGAATCCAAATGGTCATGACTCCCTCTTTGACCGTTTCAACCGCTCTCTCAGCAATGCCATTGTACTGCTTCCGCTCGCTGGGCGCGGTACGGAAATGAGCTCCAGTTCCTGCGTACCTGCTGTGTCTGGCGGCTGCCCTGAGTACTTCGAGCAACCTGTCATCATTGTCCGTGCAGTATTCCACTGCCTTTCCACCTATTCCAAGCTCTTCCAATGTTGCAACCACTGAGGTCACATTCCTGTCATGATTGTTTCCCATCAAAACACATCCATGCATCCCTGTCAGAACTGCAGTGAACACCAAAATAGCAATCTTTCCAAAGAAACAAAAATCGGCACAGACCACAAAGTGCTTTCTCTCATGTTTCACTCTGCGGGCCGGCGCTCTTCCCCTGGCTGATGCACACGATGGGCACGATTTCAAAAACGGAAAATGTCCCTGGGCCACGTGTCTCTCAAGCGAGCTCCCCTCCAGAGGAACATCGGTTTCTTCTTCATTTTCTTCTTCGGGGGGATTTCCTTCTTCCAAAATCACATCTTTTGACCCAGTCCACACAGCTGGCCGTGATCCACTTGGCTGAACCTGACCTGCCTCACACCCTCCTACCTCATGTCCACCTACCTCGTGCAACACAGGCTCATCTGACATGTTTTCTCTGGAGGGGTCCACAGATCTTTCCTCTTCATCGTCAACCAAAACAACATCTGGCAGACCACGCACCTGAGCTGAAGGTGAAAGATCACCTAGAACCCGAACTTGGGCTCCTTGATCAGGCCAAACTTCAGGATCTCGTTCCACACAAGAACCTGAGGTGGCCACTCTCCCCTCACTGCGCTCACCCACCAAACCACAGGAGAATTCATCCCCTGTCATCTCCAAACGACTCCCATCTGACCTCATGGTCCTAACCAAATACGTCAGCGGGTTTCCTGAACTCAAACCAAACGTCTTCGCCTCAACCTTTTTCCAATTCCCTGGGCTCAATGGCTTCTCAAATGCACCACGTTTTCCTTCGACCACCTGACCTGTTTCACTCACAATTGCACAATCTTCCTCACATGACCTGCTCCGATTCCCCAACTCTGAAACTTCCTGCGCCTTGAAATCACAAACGGCTGTGGACACGCTCAAAACAGACAGCATTCTAAAATCCTCCAACTCCATGGGCGTTAAAATCGGCATCAAAACAGCTCTCAGCCACCAAGCACGTTCAAACACTTCCAAGAGCAACTTCACATTGCCCTTCTGCACAAAGCTGTCTTTGGGGCGCTTGGGCGATCCAAGCACGACCTTCCACCCCCATTCGCCTAACGCATACGGCGACAGCACGTTGAAGGACAGATCTGCCACGATACATCTCTGAATCGTGCAAATCTTCTTACCGAATTTGGTTCTGATGTCCACCAACCCTGACGTGGGCACTACCTCATTCGAGGCGGCTCGAAGCACGGGAACCGACACCTCATGACGCTTCACAATTTCATATTGAGAAAGGAACTGGCGGCTGATGATATGGGTAGTTGCGCCACTGTCTACCAACCATACGGTCGGATCAGACCTGGCCATCTGCAGCAGCTTCGAATCGGCTACCTGCGAGGTGAACCGTGCTTCTACACTACCTGCACTACTCTTCTCGTTCTCACTCAGCCGCTCATGCAAAGCCATAACAGCGCTCTCACTCTCTGGTTGACTATCTCCCGCATTCTGATCTTCGTCTCCATCGAGATTTCGGACTCTCTCTCGCTTGCCCTTCTTGCCTTTGCCTTTGCTCTGTTGCGGTTTCCAGCAGTTTCGGGCAATGTGTCCTTCTTTCCCACAGTTATAGCAGGGGCCTGCTCGGTATCCTTCGCGAGATGGAGGTCGTCCACCTTTCGTATCTTTTCCTTGGCTTTGACTACGTCCTCGTTCTTCTGAACCTTTGCCTTTCTCCTGAAATTCTCCTGCTCCTTTGCCTTTCTTTCCTTTGCTCTTCCCTTTGCCTTTTTCGCGATGGCCTTTGCCATTCTGCATCCAGTTCAACTTCTCCTGTCCGTAATTCAAATCCACCAGGCGCGTTTGCTCTTCATAGTATCTCAAGGTTTGGACAGTTTCGTCCCAGCCCTCAGTCTTTCCATGCAAGACTGCATATTTCCGGGCTTCTGAAGTCACACTTTGCAGAAGGACATTCACTCGGTCGGCCATGGACAACTTCAACTCCGGGAATCTCGCCAGCTTCTGATCACTCTTCCCAAACTCATCTTGCAAATATCGAACCACATCCAAAGGGCGACGGTACTGCGAAGCAGTTTTCTGAAGTTGTTGAGTTGAGTCCCTGACGCTGATGGCTTCCATGCGACTCACAATACTGAAGGTTGAATGGAGAACACGAAGACACTCATAACCACACGCTGCATGATTCTGTCTCATCGAAGTAGATCTCAACAGTTCCATACCTCTTGAAAAACCAGCCAAACTTTGACACAGGTAATAATACAGCCGTGAACTTCGTGAAGCTACATTCTCATTAAGGTCCTTTTGCGTGATCTCTTGCTCATAGCTGAGGGCGCTCTGCATCTCATACACAAAAGCTTCATCTATCAAAGCTAACCATGTTTGAAGAGAATCCGCAAATATGTGCCACGTCTCAACTTCCTTCATGCGTCCTTTGTTCATCTCGGCGCCCTCCAGCTTGGGCAGTGGCGGTAGGTACTTCTCCGCCCGATTCTGAGACACCTTGGCTACTTCCGCATCGGGTTGAAACAAGTCACCAGATGGAGGAATGCGGGCTTTTCCTGCTACTCGTTCTTCCTGCCGTTGCTTTCGCTCTTCAACCAACAATTCCAACATCTTTTGATTCTGCTGTACCATTTGCATCATCATCTGCATCATCGCAGGGTCTCCTACAGCCACAGGTTGTCCTGCCATAGGGATCCCGGGAGGGGCTTCCACTGGTGTGGGTCCAAAAGGTCCTTGACAAGTTTGGCTACTTCCGGTCAGCCGTCCCGCGGTCTGAGTCGGTGAAACTGGGCCTCCTGAGTGGCTTCCAGCAAACACGTTGGGGTTCCTTCTATTCTCAAACAGGTCGGCGTCTTCCTCATCTTCTGGAAGTGGTACACTATGTTCAGCCATCTCTTCGAGATGGCTCCGCTACCATCTAGAAACCCTTACTTAGGGTTTAGGATGTTACCTTTGGTAACTCACTCTTCCAAAAAGGTCGGCGGGTGGAGTCGAAACTCGATTAAAAGTGCAGTCGAGTCCCGAGACGCGCAGCGTATTTTCCTTGAGCCAATTCACAGACGGTAACCAGTTTACCAAGTCTCAAAGTCGACATGGGGAACTTAAACAGTAAAAGAAGGAAATTCAAAAACTTGCGTGTTCTTTCTATACAGGTCTCTATAGTTCACACAAGCAAAACCTTCCGAGTTCCACCGCATCTGTACATGGTCCATCGGAGTTTCTCCACACATGTTAGACTCCTTGGACTCTTCCAAACACGCATTGGGCTCTTTCGGTCGCTCGCACAGATCGTGCTCGCTCCCCTAGCATTTACCGAATTCCGTATTTCTACTGCGCCAGGTTCCTTTCCCAAATCTCCAACACAAGCAACACAAACAGAACACAGAGGACCACCAACCAACCAAACACCACACAAACACGTCACAAAGGTTATTGGGACATCTCATGCCGTAACCAGGGGTATCTACCTTTTCACATCGAAGGCGCTCGGCAGCACGTCCTCCTCGCAGGGCAGCTGGAAGCTCACGCTTCTCAGGCCCCTCATGCGCTGGCGCAGGAGCGTCTCCACCTCGGTCCTGGAGTTCCTGTAGTGCGTGCTCTGGGTGCTGACGTGCCCCTCAGGGTCGAGGAAGTAGGTCTCGTCTGAGAGCTGCAGGATGGGGCCGCCCGGATCGAGCGAGGCCTCAACCTGCTGCCTGACCCGCTGCGCCACCTGCTCCTCCGTAAGGTGGGCCGGGTGCCTCGTTGCGCCGCCCGGCAGCCAGTCCCTGCGCTCGTAGCCCGCGCCCGCGTTCCGCCCGCTGCGGCGCCTGCCACGGATGATCACCGGCACGTGGACCAGGTACTCGTAGTACTTGTCGCGGAAGAAGCCCTTGCCCAGCTTGGTCAGCCGGTGCTCTCCGCCCTGCAGCGCACGAGCTTCTTCTGCCCGTTGCGCAGCAGGATGTAGTCGTTGGGCCCCTCGCGGATGAGGGGCTGGTTGTAGTCGAAGTCCTTGCTGGGAGGCCGCAGGCACAGGTGGGAGTAGTAGTGCTGGCCCGCCCGGGTCAGCTGCCCGTCCGCGCGCGAGAGCAGCGCGTAGGCCCCCGGGCCGCGCCGCAGGTTCAGCACGAGGCACCATCCGCCCCCGTGCGAGCCCGGGCGCCGCCGTCCGCGGCCTCCGTGATCTGCTGTCGTTGTCTCGCCCAACTTGCCATTCTTTTTTTACGGGGCCAGTTTTTTTTTGGTGGGCGCGGCCAAGTCGGGGGTGCGTTCAAACGGGTTATCAGGCCGTCAGAGCGTTTTCGCAGCGGGCGGGCTGGTGCCTGTAGGGTTTAAACACAGCTGGCTTTCAACAAAGTCACTATTTGCTCGAGAAAGCTCTAGTCTGCGATGGCGACTCGATCCGAGTGCGAGCGCGAGGCGCGCGAGGCGGCAGCGAAGGTGCTGTTTACCGCCCTTCCGCACTCCGTGAAAATGGGGACTCGCGTGCTCAAGACCCTGGACGACATGCGGGACATACTGTCCTACCACAGCGTCGGCTGCAAGCAGGCTCTGCCCATCTTTGAAGAACTTGTCAAGGCCGGCCAGGAACCCGCGGGTGAAGACTACCCGGCGACGAACTTGGAGCATCGCCTGGTGGAGTGGTTGGATCGCCACGAAGCCGCCCCGGACACTCCGCCCGTGAAGCCTCAGTCTCCGCGCCAGCCCATTTACCTGAACTTGAAGAGGAAGGCGAGCGAGCCGGAGCCGGAGAAGCCGGAGAAGCCGGACTTGCTGCCAAGGGCCGCCGAGCCGCGAGACGAGGATTTCATGAGGAACAAGGCCGCTCCCGTCTTCCACAGCAACAACCACGTTCTGGTTCCCTGTGAGTTCCGCCACACAGGCCCGGGTGTGTCCGAAGCAGAACTGCTGGAGTGCCTTTACAGGGTGGGGGACGTCAAGTACCAGGGCAAAGGTTGCGCTTGGATGGCGTGGCGCCTCGTGGGCCAAGCTCAGCCTCCTGACGTCGGCCACCACGTCGTGCTTCGACCCGAAAGAGGGGCAAACTTGTGGGTCTTCTTCCACAAGCCCACCATGAAGCTGCTGCCCCATCCTCCGGCGTCCACCCAGCTCTACAAGCTAGGCAAGGGGAAGCTTCACGATGTCGTGAAGCTGATGGCCAACTGCTTGGAGCAGAAGGGGACCATGCGGGCCATGAGTCGGGGCGAGTACGACGGCCTTGTTGCAGCAAACGAACCTCCGGCGCCAGAGTTCTCCCCACAACAGGTTTTGAAGAACTACGACAATATGACGACGTCCGAGTTCCAGAGCCATCTTACCAAGCTCGACACGACCTTCCGAGGCGACAAGGCCTTGAACACCGGCAAGCGCCCGCCGAACAGTGAGGACGAGTTCGTGCACTTGCAGAGCAGAGCCCTCATGCAGCTCCGCAAGCAACTCCAGGACGACCAGTTGCAAACGGAGAGCCTGCTGGTGTCGCGCCATCGCCAACTTCTGATGACCGACTTCGTCATCAACGAGAGCACCATGAACTGCTGGTGGTACAACCCCGAGGTCCACCAGAAGCAGCCACTGGACTTTTTCGAGGCCTACGGGCGAGCTCGCGACGAGCGAAGGAGATCTTCTACGGAGACAGCAAGGGGAAAACTCCCCTGGCAAGTTGCCTGGCAGCCATGGTGGCCCGCGACGTAAGTCTGGACGAGTTCGTGATGGTGTCCAGCCCGGACATGCTGCGATCCGCGGTCGAGCGCAACCTCCTGCGCGACGAGAGGCCTTTGCTCTTGGACGAGCTTCAGATCAGCAGCAGCAACATCGGCGCCCAAGGCGGAGCCACCATCAAATGTCGCTACAACGACGTGAAGGTGCCTGCGGAGACGTTCAGGATCATCACGGTGCAGGACCTGGCGAAACTCCACCACAGCTTGGACGACATGGCAAAGATTTGCCCTCCGGACCTCATGCTCGACGGGTTTGAGTGGCGCGCTCGCCCGCTTGACAAGGTCTTCGACGCGGACACGCGCGCGGTGCTGAAGCGCTGCATCCTCGTGGAAGTCACGGCGCAGTGTGTCAAGGACTCTGTGCGCGAGAAGCGAAAGTTCGGGTCCGACAAGGCGATCTCCATGGCGGAGAGTTTGAGGGCCTTGACAACGGCCAGTAATTCGCGACACCGGGGCCTGCCTTTTGAGGGAACAGACCAGGCAGAAGCCCGACCGAACGCGTACAGATCTTGCAAGCCCCCCGCTCTGGCACACTGCCGGGCTCGTGAGGCCGCCTTGCCCAAACAGTTGGACGACGCGCTGCAATACCCAACCCGCTCTCTCCCAGCTCCATGCTACATGTGCTATATGTGCTATATGGCCCCCAACCCGCTCCACTCTCCCCCGGGCCCATGCTATATGTACTATATGTGCTATATGGCTCTTACAAGGCAACCGCTGAACATCCACTCTCCCCCAGGTCCTTGCTATATGTGCTATATGGTATAGAAGCCTGTATACTATACACATAGCATCTCCAACATGTTCCAAATATGCATTGTGTAGCACATATAGTACATTTTAAAGCGCGTACAGAATAATATAGCACATATAGCACCGGTTGACTTTTCGCTTTGCTTGATTACGGGTTCAGGTTTTTCAATGTCGCCCAGCGGGCCCGCCCAACGGGTTTGGGGGGGCTGTCGGTTTTTAAGTACTGCCTCGCCCATGGTGGAGTTGGGCTGGGTACTGGTCCGCCCAACAGGTCTGGAGGGGTTTTGGATTTTTAAGCACTGCACCCGACCCGCTGGGGCTTGATACTGGTCCGCCAAACCTCGTTTTGATACTGGCTCGCCCAACTGGGCCTGTTTTTGCGTGTTTTTGCACCCTTCAGCCGGTTGACTTTTTGCCATGCTTGATTATGGGTTCAGATTTTTTTTTCAATGGCTCGCCCAGCAGGCCCGGGTTTGGCTTAGTACTGGTCTGCCCAACGGGCCCGGGGGGGGGGGTTCGTTTTTTCACGGTTCGCCCAACGGGTCTGGAGGGGTTTCGTTTTTTCATGGTTCGCCCAACGGGTCTGGAGGGGTTTCGTTTTTCAATGGTCCACCCAACGCGCCTGGAGGGGTTTCGTTTTTCAATGGTCCGCCCAACGGGTCTGCAGGGGGTTTCGTTTTTCAATGGTCCACCCAACGCGCCTGGAGGGGTTTCGTTTTTCAATGGTCCGCCCAACGGGTCTGCAGGGGGTTTCGTTTTTCAATGGTCTGCCCAACGGGTCTGCAGGGGGTTTCGTTTTTCAATGGTTCGCCCAACGC